TTTTTATTGTTCTCCTATCGCCCCTATCTATAAAGTAGACGATCCGGCGTATTTTAAAGCTGGTTTTCTACGGGCTGGCTGCCTCCGTGCTCGGACATAATCCAGAGAGCGAAGCCGGAAGGCGTGTGGAGGCGCATTTGCAGCGGCCCAAGCCAAGCAACCCCGTCGAATTTGAAAGCTGCATATCTTGAATGAATGATTTGGCAGCAATGTTACTTCTTTGCGCAAAGGGTCCAGTAGTAGAATACAGTGCACCTCTGTCTGGCGCCCCCCAACACTGCGTAACTTTAGGAAAACAAAGAAAGAGAGAGGGAACTCTCAAAGGCTTGCTTCTTCTAGTGTCGCCCAAACAGCGCATTGCACCCTTCAGCGTTTCCCCTAGCACGACAGCTACGATGCTGCAGTAGTTTTTACCACTTTCTTAGCAACAAGCCGGTTTGTGCTCAGGTCGTCCTGAAACAGCCATTTGCTGTTCTAGGTTGAGCCCTATGGAGATGCACTTTCGGAGTCATCTCACCGGCTTGCACGTACATCGCAGCAACTGCATGAATGTACGTCTCAACAAGGCAGCGATGCACTTTATGCTACTGAAAAGCATACGTCCAAACGAGTCATTAGGCGTCTATTTGCTTAACAATGTCTCATAGAATTGTTCTGAAAATGACGTGTTGAGTAGCTGTGCCACTACGCTCATGTCCCGAAAAACCAGAGGGTTGTGAAATCCTTCGCCTTCCCCTCACAGGGAAATTCTTTTCAAGATACAAAGACTGTATATTGATACATTGGAAGGCTCATCTACCGGTTAGCAGGTTCAAACAGCTCAAATAAGTCAGCTGTTTATCGCCTCTTCTTGCTAATTTTGTTCCGTGGGGAGTTCTGTATTTCTACCCTGTAATTCATTGCTTGCCAATTCTGATTTGTCCGTCTGCGCTGCAAGTGCCTGAAAACGCTTAGCATATCATTTACAACTGGAGGAATTATGAACATATTTCTCCCGTCGTTTCGTTTCCAGAGCGCAACTCCTTGCTGTTGTCCGCAATCCGGCGGCGACTGAAAAGCAGCACCAGAACGCCTATGTCTAGAACACAACGCAGCAGCAAGCATTCAACTCGTTCTTTCTCGGCCTACCTCATGTATGAGCATCTTCCTACAGGTCCCGGCACTAGGGAACTGCAACGGAACACGAAATACCGCGGTGGCTGATGAAACAATAAGTTGAATCCAGCACGTGTTTCAGTTTCCTTTTTCAAGGGCATAGAAATTTAAGTCGTAGAGGTAACCGTTCCACGAGCTTGAGATCTCACCCGAATCAAAAAATGGCTGCTTCGACAGGGAACGTGCAAGTGCACTTTTGCTTAAATATTCTTCTTGAGTTGTGGCAACTCTGAACGCAGACCCAACAGGCGCCCGCAACCCGTCAGTAGCACTTCCTACGCAGCAGGGTGTGCGCTTCTGCTGGCCCCTTCTCAAGGAATAAGTCCTGAACATTTGCAAATGCTGGGTAGTCTTTAAGGAGAGCATAGAACAGACAAACGATCTCACCGTCTCATCAACCGCCGTTCATTTTTTGTGTTGCCCAAAGCTGCGCGTTGCTCTGTCTCGAGACGGTCGTCTTTCCAGTGGGGAAGGCCTGCACTCCCAACTCGCAACCCTACACAAACTGAACCCCTGTAAAACCCCACGTCGACATCAGGTGAACCCCAAGAATACCCCAGCGAAATCCTATATACATTCCTAAACTCGGAACGTTCCGTGGAATTTCAGTAGCCTGCAAGCATTGTGGGCTTGAGGTGTAAAGCTGTTATTTTGTCCGTGATCTCCAACTTCTCTCTGTAATAAGCACGGAAAATGCTTGTGGGAACGAGCATCTATATCTATATCTATTTCTCTATCGACATATATATAGGTATAGATATAGTGCACTACAATACAACACAATACAACAAAACAATGCACTACACTACAGTACACTACACTAAGCTACAAACAAACCTGCAGCGTGAAGAGCAGCGGGATGGTACAAAAGCTCTGCGGGGCTCTTCCTGCGAAGTTACAAGCCGTTCAGCATCGAGACAGGAAGGACGTTTCAGTGATTGAATTCTTGCTTCGTGCTTTTTGAGATACATTCGGCAAAAGGCGAGCAAATGCCACCAAGAACGGCTTCAGTGGTGAAGTAATACGATTAGACGACCAACAAGTTGACTACCGAAGGTTTCATGGACAGAAAAACATCAAAGCACAGGGATATGAAAGGAGGAGGAGAAAACGGCAGACAGAAAAACGCGAACGAAACGAGAGGCACCAGCTTGTGCTGCTTACTCCCTTCTTAGCACGGCCTGCACGATAGCCTTCCGAAGCAACAACTCCGATGCTTCTTCCTGCAAAAAATAATTTCATATTAGACACGCCACCCGGGTTGAATGCCTACAGTTGAAGTCGGTCAGGGAGGGCCGAGGCTCACATGAAGCGTCATAAACTCTTCTGTTTCCTGCGCAGCCACGAACAGCAGCACGTATTTTTTAAACTCATGAGGGTCAACTTATAATTGATAGAACTGCGTATAAGTACTTTGTGATGTTCCAACAGTTGAGGGAAGCACCACGAAACGAAGCCTGAACGAAATGCAAAAATTTTGGCGCCCACGAGAGCTGCAGATGTCGATGCAGGTATTCTCATGAATGTGTATAGAGTTCATTGTTTGGGGTTTTTCCGAGCAGAAAACCACCAGTAGCAAGAAACAAAACTACACACCTCTTCTCGCATTCGAACATATTCAGCCAGCAGAGTGCAAACAGCATCAACCGAAAGCGCCTCCCAAAATAGCGGAGTACCTGCAAGGCAGCACACAGCAGCACAAACTCCAGCGGGTTTATGGTTTAAAGTTAAGGATTTAATGTTAGAGTCAAAGCGCTCCTAAAGAAGAAGAAGAAACAGAGTTGTGTTGAGTTCGATAGAACGAAGAAACAACGAACTGAGAGAACCCTGTATAAGGTTAAGGGTCTAAGGGTTTAGGATTTAGGGTTCAACCTATTACCCCAAACCACAGCAACAACTTCATCACGTATAGGCTGAAGCGCGAAATCCTGAAACATAAACAGAAACAAGTCAAATGCCCCTCTGTATCCTGCAAGTTCAGCTTCTGTGTTTGCTCAGGGAAAATGTTCAACTATCCAGTTCGTTGGTGACCCCTTTGCTTGAGTATTCATGATTTGTTTGTTCTAGGAATTTGAACTTTTTCCTCGAGATGATGCAGAGCATTTGACTCTTTCTGAATACTACCAGTTCAGCTGCCGAAAAAAAAGGTGTAGAGACAAAACTAATTCATTATTTCGGAATATCATAATTTTCGTACAGGTAAACAAGAAGCAAGCGGAACAGAATCCTTTGATGGATCCAGGGGATGTGCCTTCTCCAGCTGTTCCCCCTAAACATGCACAAAAAACACAAAAAAAGAGAGATATAAGTCAAAAGTATTCATATGAAAAACAGAGATTAAGCATAGAACAGCACTGAACTAGAACGAGATAATAACAAACTGTAACAGCTACAGTAATGTTTCTTTGATTTGCTAGCAACCCATTCAAAAGGAATTGTTTAAGTAAGAAGAAAAGAACACAAGTTTAAATATCTAAATTTCAGGGGTGTACTGGCCTTCAGGTGGAAGAGGCCAAATGCCTTTATAAAGCTTGAGCCGGCTTTCTGTGGAGAAACAAAATACACAAGCATACAGAGAAGAGAGAGAGTATAAGCAAGTGTCTAGCAAAGCAGCTAGTTCAGTCGCTAGTTAGATAGCTAGCTAGCTCGCCAGATAGCTAGTTCGCTAGCTAGCTAGCTGGGTGGTGAGTTAGCTAGCTAGCAGCTAGCCAGCTGCTAGTTCGTATCATATCTGGGCTTACACTGTCCTTGCGACCCTTGAGGCGGAGCTCGACCTGTCTTCTGAACGCCTCGGGGGCCCCAAGAGGCCAGGCAGAGATACCTG